TGGCTCTCTTGGACTTGTTTTAATTTTTTTCAGCTTCAGTTTCAATTTGCATATGAGTAATTAATGGTCTGTTCCACAGTCTGCCCCTGGCCTTGTTTTCACTGATGATAGGGAGCTTTTCCATTGTCTTTTTCCGCAGATAAAGTCAATTTCATTTTTATGTATTCCATCTGTTGAGGTCCATGTGTATAGTCGTCTCTTAAACTGTCTAAAGAAGGTATTTGAAATGAAAAAATCATTGATTTTGCAGAATTCTATCATGCAATCTCCAGCATCATTTCTATCACCAAGGTCATATTTTTCAACTTTTGATCCTTCCTCTTTGCTCCCAACCTTTGCATTCCAATCACCAGTAATGATCAATACATCTTGATTGCATGTTTGGTCAATTTCAGATTGAAGTAGTTGGTAGAATTCTATTTTGTTTCATCCTCATTGGCTTTTGTGGTTGGTGCATAAATCTGAATAACAGTGGTATTAACTGGGCTTCCCAGTAGGCGCATGGATATTATTCTATGACAGACAGCGTTGTACCTCATGACTGATGTGGATATGTTCTTTTTGACAATGAATGCAACACCATTTCTCTTCAATTTGTCATTTTCGGCATAGTAAACCATGTGGTTGTCAGATTCAAAATGGCCAATAACAGTCCATTTCAGCTCACTAATGCCTAAGATATCAATGTTTATGTGTTCCATTTCATTTCTGATAACTTCCAATTTTCACCAGATTCATATTACGTACATTCCATGTTCCAATTTTCAATGGCTGTTTATAGCTGTTTCTCTTCATTCTGAGTTGTGCCCCATCAGCAAATGAAGGTCCCGCGGCTTTTCTCTCATGGGCTTTATTCCATTTGTGTCATCACGGTCAACTCTACTTTGAGGAGGCAGCTCTTACCCATTCACATTTTGAGTGCCTTCCAACCTGAGGGGCTCATTTTCTGGCACTATATCTGACAGGGTTTCTCTGTTCTTCATAAGGTTTTCTGTGACTAAATACTCGGAAATAGTTCGTCACTCCTTCTTCCTAGTCTGTCTTTGTCTGGAAGCTCATCGGAAACCTGTCCATCATGGGTGACCCTGCTGGTATTTAAAATACTGGTGGCATAGCTTTCAGAATCACAGCAACTCACATGCCACCCACAGTACGACAAACTGACAGAGGAGTGGTGGAAGAGTCCATTAGGTGGTGTTAAAGAATTACTATTAGTGTAATGGTTACGAGTCGGGCTATGAACCGCAAGGTCAGCAGTTCGAAACTACCAGCTGTTACGCGGAGAAAGATGAGGTGTTCTGCTCCCGTAAAGACATACAGCCTTGGAAACCCTGTACAGGGTCGCTATGAGTCGGAACTGACTCCAGGGCACTTAACAACAACAACAATTAGTTTCCTGGTTGTTTTTTATTTTATATTATTATTTTAATTATTTAAATTTTATTGTCTTTATATTGTTTGCTCTGAGTTTTCCTAATTTTTGTTAATCTGTTCTCCTTCCATCTTATGGGAGTTTTTTCTCTTCTTGCATTACTATCAACTACAGAAATGTAGGCAAGGCACAGCTGTACCCTCTACAACCCCAAAAATGAGCAAGAGCCAATATTGGCTGCTATACACCACAGCAGCAGCTACAATTAACACCTGCTAAATCTACTCTGAACTGAACTGTACAAACAGTGAACGGAGAGGCTCATCTCCTGATCACATCAACCAGGAGGCAATTAGTGAGTGTCAAAAGAACACACCAACATTCATTCATCAACTTAATACAAACACAACACCACAATGATTTCAAGAAGCAACAAAAAATGTCTGTCCACACAAAGAAACAAGAAAGAGTAGCTCAAACAAACCATCAAGAGAAAGAGCTTAAAAACACTTTTGAAGAAGATGATGATCAATACCAAGATAACAGAAACACAATACCAAGATAACAGAAATGGACCAAACACTAAATGAGCAAAAGAGTAGAACTAAATCAATGGAAGTCAGAATTAGAGAGCTTGAAGATAAAGGTTTCAGTAAATAAGGTAGAAGAACAATCCAAAAAAAGAATGAAAAAAATCAGAAGAAAACCTAAGATTCATGTGGGACAACATAAAAAGAAATAAACTCCTAATGAGTGGAATTCCAGAACAGGAAAAGACAAAGAAAACCACAGGAAAGATTACTGAAGAACTGCTGAAAGAAAACTTCCCTAACATCTGAAAGAAAACTTCCCTAACATCATGAAAGACAAGGTGATAACAATTCAATAAGCTGAAAAAAACAAGGCAGGATAGGCCCAAAAGAAAATCACCAACATATACCATAATCACACTCTCATACATCAAAGTTAAGGAAAGAATCCTGGAAGCAGCTCATGAAAAACAAAATGTTACCTATAAAGAATACCCAGTAAATTAAGCTTAGTGTCTCAGCAGAAACCAAACTGGCAAGAAGGCAATGAATGGGGAGACATATACAAAACTCTGAAAGAAAAAAACTGCCAACCAAGAATCATATACACAGGAAAGCTGCCCATCAAATATGACTGGCAAAATTACATTACTGGATACACAGAAACTAAAGGACTCTGTAAAAGCCAGACCAACTCTCCACAGTAAAGTAAAGGGAGTTCTTTAGACTGAGAACCAACAAGAGCAGACAACAACCAGAGAATGACATACACAGCAACACCACCTGAAATACAGGCCACATATGGAAGTGTCAGAGTAGACTAAAACTACAGAATTGAAAATGGGGGTCAGAGATGTCAATCTCTGGTCAGGACAACTTAAAAGCGACAGAAGGGAAAGTATAGTTCCAGAGTTCCAGGAGGGTTGAAGGCATCAGATAGATTTCAAGATAAAACACGCTGCTTAAAAATGAGGAACAAATTAATAAATTACAGGGTAACCTCAAAGAAACTTAATACACCGTCATATCAAATCAAGAAAAGGAAAATCCATGGAGAATTTATAAACATTAAAATTGAAGAAATTTAAAAGAAAACCCTTTAAAAAAAAAATTAACTCATCCTATGAAATCATGCAAAATAAACCAGAAGCACCCCCCAAAAAAAAACAAACAGCAAAATGAATGCAATCAATTCATAACTATTGGTAATTACATCGAATGTCAATGGATTGAATGCACGATTCAAGAGCAAAATGGGTAAGAAAACAGAGTTCTTCAGTGTGCTGTCTACAAGAGACACATCATACACACAAAGACAAAAAAAAAAAAAGATTAAAATTTAAAACTATGGAAAAAATATATGAAGCTAATTACAATAAAAACTGAGTAGAAGTGGCAATATTAATCCCTATAAAAGGCACTTTAAGGTGAAAACCAGCATAAGAGACAAAGAAAGATAAGATTACATAATTAATTAAAGGATCAACTGAAAAAGAGAACACAGCCATAGTAAATATCTATACTCCCAATAAAGAGAGCCTCAAAACACATCAAACTATAACAGAAGTGAAGAAAGAAATAAGCAACTCTACAATAGTGGGAGATTTTAATACATCCGTTTAGAAAAAGGACAGAACAACCAGAAAGAAACTCAACAAAGATACAGAGGAACTAAACACCACAATCCATCAACTTGACCTCATAGATTTCTACAGACCATTCAACCCAACAGCACAAGACACATTCTTTTCCAGTGCAAATAGAACACTCTCCAAAATAGTCCATTTGTTAGGCCACAAAGCAAGTCTCAATAAATTCAAAACATCAAAATACTACATAGCATCTTCTCAGATCACAATGCTACAAAATTTGAAGTCACCAATAGTAAGATTAAGGAAACAAAATCAAATACACGGAAACTGAGTAACATCCTGCTTAAAAACTACTTGGTAACAGAACAAATAAGAAACATAATCACTCCATAGATATAAGGATGGTTCAATATTAGAAAAACAATTCAGCATATAAATTTAAAGAAGAAAAAGAATCACATGACTATATAAATTGACACAGAAAAGGCATTTTACAAAATCCAATATCCATTCTTTTTTTTTTTTCCACAATATCCATTCTTGATAAAAATACACAACAAAGTAGGAATTACCAACAGCCAGAATTACTCTCAATGGATAAACACTGAAAACATTCCCTTTGCAAGCTGGAACTAGACAAGGATGCCATTTATCACCACTCTTATTAAACATTGTGTTGGAAATTTTAGCCAGAGCTGTAAGGGAAGACAGGGCATCCAAATGGCAAAGTAGTAGAGCCCTCTGTATTTGCAGATGATATGATCTTACATATAGAAAGCCACAATTACTCAGCAAGAAAATTACTGGAACTAACTGAAGGATTATGCTAAGTGGCAGGGTATATGATCAATATACAAATTTCAGCTGGATTCCTCTATACTAATAAAGACAGAATTTCATTTTAGGAATAAACCATTTTAGGAATAATCAGGAATGAATCTGGTTTTTCTGTAACCTTTTGGGAAGCGGTTACAAATGGTTTGTTGTTGTTGTTAGGTGCCATTGAGTGGGTACTGACTCATAGAGACCTTAATCACAGCAGAATGAAACACTGCCCGATCCTGGGTCAACCTCACTACTGTTGCCACACGTGAGTCCACTGTTGCTGCCACCTGACCAATCCAACCCAAATGGGGGTCTTCCTCTTTATCTCTGACCCTCCACCTTACCAAACATGATATCCTTCTCCAGCGACTTGTCCCTCCTGACAACACGTCCGAAGTATGAGAGATGAAGTTTGGCCATCTTGGCCTCTAAGGAGCACTCTGGCTGCACTTCTTCCAAAATGGATCTATTGGTTCTTTTGGCAGCC